ACATGTCTTTTGGCTTAGGGAAACCAGAGGAAACACACTTTTAGAAATTATAAGTAATTAATCCCAACTCTTTTTTTAAAACATGCTGAGAGGTTATTGAAAGGTAGAAAATTCTTCTGAATGAGGCTTCATTTAATGTTGTTTCTTTTATCTGTGTTAAGTAAGCATCTGTTCTAAAGAAATTTAACCTCAAGATATTAACAGCTATTAGCCCGAGGTTAAACATTTGTTACACACACATAGTGGATTTGTCCCCATCTAGGATATGTGGAATAGTCCATCATTATAAACTATTTTTAAGTTTATTAAATTTTGCTGTGTACAAAATAAGAATCAACAGAAATGCTTTTGATTCATAAAAATACTTTTTCAATCAGAAACTACAAAAACAGTCAGACATTTAATTTAGCATAAGTTTGCCTAACAGCAGTCAATGCATGAACATGATGCACTTAGACATTATAGTGCTAGAAACTTTTAATGTGAATGATCCAAAAATTATCTTCATGAAATTATCTATTGGGAGGGAATAAAGAACAGAGGTTTTGCCTTTAAGATACTGTGTGGTACTTGATTAAATAGTGCAGTCACTTATATTTTGAGAAAATAATGCAACCCCTTAAGGTATTTGAAGAAAGGACTTCCTCGCTAGATGCATGTTAATTTTATATCCACATTAATTACATCCTGAAAGTTTTTGATATAAATGTGAGATACTTTTAAGCACATATTTAAAACTGTTTCCCGCTTTAAATGATGCATGGCAGAGAAATGAAAGGGGAATATTGATATATCTCCACTGTAATCTTCATTTCTTCATTTATTGTTTTAGTTATCCACTGTCATATAACAAAATCACCACAAAATGTGTAATGGCTTCAAACAGCAATATTATCTCTTACTGTTTCTGTAAGTCTGGAATTCGGAGGCTCTTAACTGACTGGTTCTGGCCTTGAGTGTCTCATGTGGTTTCAGTCAGACAGTAACTGGAACTGAGGTCATATTGAAGTCTTCTTCACTTACCTTCCTGGGACTTAGAGAGGAAAGATACATATAGCTGGAGCTCCTCTGGTATCTCTGTCTCTACGTGGTCTGTTAACATGACAGCTTTAGGGTAGCTGGATATCTCACATGTTAGATCAGTACTCCATGGCTCATGTCTTGGGACAGAAAGCCAGGTAGAATTCATATCACCTTTTAAACTTTAACCATAGATTTCAAGTGGTATCATTTCTGTCACATTCGTTTCATTAAGGCACATTCAAGGTCTTACCACATTCAAGAGATGAAAGCTCCTTGACTATACCCCTTGATGGAGCATTGACACTATATAGTGTCAATATAGGAGAAGAGCATGTGGGAAGAGAAATATATTGATGTGGCCATTTTTGGAAAATACAGTCTGTTACACAGATAAAGCATTTGGCTGACTATAATGAATTAGGCATCATGGTGAGTCCTATAATAAGATGATAAATATATACAATTCATGCTCACAAGATGCTTATTGTCTAGTAAGAACATCCATGTAAATAAATGCTTTACAAGGGGATACGTACAATGTGATAAGATAATGATTAGCTTGGTAGAATGTTGTAAGATTTGATAGAAGGTGTTTTAGTGAAGAAATGAAGATAAAGAAGTAGTCTAGCATGCCTCCCAGTTTTCTAGTTTGTGTGACTGAGTGGATGAGTGGTTAAGACCTGTAGACCTAGAGACACCTGTAAAACATACACATGGAAATGACTATTGGTCGTTTACAAATACATCTTCCAGGGAAAATGTTTGTGCTTGGGATGTAGTATTGGGAATCAATAAATTTTGGTTAGAATTTTAAGGCCTAGATGTGTATGATATTGCCCAGAGAAATTTTGTGGAAGAAGAGAAAAAGGGAAAGAATGTAACCCTGTGGAAAACAACACTTAACAAGTGTACTGAGAGGATGTCAGGGAAAATGGCAGAGTGAAGTCCCCCGCAAAGTCTCTTCTCCATAAAAGCAATGAGAAAACTGGAAGTCTTATTGTTTCCAGGCATTGAAAGAAACCTCTACCCAATCATTAGCTGACCACAAACTAGCCAAGCAGAAACTTCAGCTGTCACACATGACAAGAACATAGACTTTACAGCATTTGTTCAGAAAAGTCACTAAATAAACATTATCACCACTGCTATTACAGCAGAAATCCCCTTCAGCAACAACAAACTCTGGGAAGGAAGAGAATCTGATTTCCAGAGTTGCCGTATTAAAATATTCACAGTGTCCAGTTTTCTGCAAAATAATTATGAGACATGCAAAGAAACAAAGTGTGGCATGAGCACACTTTATTTCCCACAGGGAATGAGAAAAATAATAGAAACTATTCCTGAGGAAGCATAGATGTTGGATTTAATAGGCAAAGACTTTAAATAAGCTACTTGAAATATGTTCAAAGAACTAAAATATTATGCCTAAAGAAATAAAGATTAACAGCTAATTTCTCTTTGGAAACCATGAAGGTCAGAAGGCACTGGAATGAAATACTAAAAGCCCTTAAAGAAAAAGACTGTTAACCAAGAATTCTACTTCCAGTAATATCCTTTTAAAATGAAGAATATTCTCAGATAAACACAAACTGAGATAATTTGTCAATAGCAACCTGCTAGACCTAAATGTAAGAACTAAAATTATAAAACTTATAAAAGAAAACATACCAGAAAATGTTTATGACCTTGGATATTAAATATCACAATAAAAGCAGAAGTAATAAAGGAGAAAATAGGTAGGTTGGATTTCATCAAAATTAAAAACTTTTGTACTTCAAAGAATACAACAACATCAAGAAAATGAAGATGGTTGGGTACAGTGGTTCATGCTTGTAATCCCAACACTTTGGGAGGCTAAGGCAGGAGGATCTCTTAAGCCCAGGAGTTCAGACCAGTCTAGGAAACATGATGAAACCCCATCTGTACAAAAATTAGAAATGTTATCCAGATGTAGTGACATGTGCCTGTAGTCTCAGCCACTCAGGACGCTGAAGTTGGAGGATTGCTTAAGCCCAGGAGGCAGAGGTTGCAGTAAGTGCACCAGTGCACTATAGCCTGCATGACAGAGTGAGAAAAACAAGAAAAAAGAAAATGTAGACAACCCACAGAATGGGAGGAAACATTTGCAAATCATCCAGCTGATAAAAATCTAATAGACTGTAATGATCTTTGCAACCCAACAATAGGAAGACGTATAATCCAACTGACAAATGGGCAAAGAAATTGAATAGACATTTTTCCAAGGCATGTATACAAATGATCAGTAAGCAGAGCAACACCATTGATGCTCCACACCATTAGGCATTATGGAAATGCTAACCAAAACCACAATGAGTTACTTCTCCCCACCTCGGGTGGCTATATTAAAAAAGATAAACAATAACAAGTGTTGGAAAATACATGAATACATATTGGAATCCTCATATTTTATAATGGGAATTTAAAACAGGCCAACCACTTTAGAAAAACAGTTTGACAGTTTCTGAAAAAAATTAAACTCAGAATTATAAAATCCAGCATTTCCTTTCCTAGGAAATATACCAAGATAATTGAAAACATAGGTTCACATTAACACTTGGGCACAAATGTTCAAAGCAGCATGATTCATAAAGAGCCAAAATTCCCAGTCACTGATGAATAGGTAAACAAAATGTTGTATATCCATACAATGAAATACTATTCAACTATAAAAAGTAATGAGTTACTGATACATGCTACAACAGAGATAACAACAACCTTGAAAATATTATGTGAATTAAAAAAATCAGACACAAAAGCCCACGTATTGTATTGTTACATTTATATGAAATGTTGAGAATAGACAAATCCATAGAGACAGAAAGTGGATTAGCATTTCAGTAGAGGGAAATAGGGAATTGTGGCTGTTGGTACAGGATTTCCTTTTGGGTAGTGAAAAAAAAATAAGAATCAGATTGTGGTGATAGTTATGCAACATATAAATACAGTAAACACCATTAAAATGGTATACTCTTAAAGGTATATTGTGTGGTAAATGAGTTGTATCTCAATTTTTGAAGAGTTGGCTATGGAAGAAAAGGCAGTAATATTGAAAAGGAGTCTATCAAGAGTCAGAAGAACATGTGAGAAATTGATTTCATGTTCAGAGGACAAGTTTCTTATACTTAGTTTCCTAAGAATTGTGTATGACTCGCCTGTACTTTATATAAATCTCTTAATACATAATCTTGCATTTTTTCTAATTGCACTCTGAGAAATCTACTCAAACTAAAAAAATTGAAACATAAAACAACTATAGGAAAATCCATTTGTGAATGTGTCAGTGTGTGGGTGCCAATATGTTTGTGAGAGATGGTAGAAGGTTAGAAAGGTAGATGATGCATAAAAGATTATTATTACCTTCTGTTTAGTATTTCCTTTAGTTCAGTTGTTTGACTTGCCTCAATGTGACTTTCTCTTTCAGAAAGAGGCACAAGGCTAAGATAGCCCCATTTCTCTGCCTTTGTCTCCTCAGAACTGTACTTGCTTTAGGACTTTAAACAGAAGCTCTTGGGCAGCAGTGTTCTTTGACTATTGCCACAGTTATCTGCTCTGCTCTTCTGGTTCATTCTCCACAGTCCCAGAGGATTCACCTTCTCAACTGGACTTCTATTTATTTTATTCCCTGCTCACAGACTTCTGCCACATCCCACTGCATCCAGAATGAATCCAGTTTCTTGGCCTGTGACCCCTTGTTTTGACTAAAACCCTGAATTGTTGACCCTGAAGCCCCACAATTGAGTGGGCAACAGACATGAGATACAACCAACAGTGAGATGTAACTGGGTAAGGTAGAGGATCTGGTGCAGGCTTACATTCCCAGCTCCCTATCCCAGTGTTGCAAGGTTGTTATCTAAGCTGTCAAGAGGAAAGTGTTTCTACTGGTAGATATTCTTAAAGACCGTCTGTTAGGAGCCACAGATTTGTTTCAGAAGTGGAGGGGGAAAAAAATACACCTTGTGCTCACTTTGGCAGCACATATACTTAAATTGGAAAGATACAGAGATTAGCATGGCCCCTGTGCAAGGATGACGTGCAGATTCGTGAAGTATTCCATATTTAAAAAGAAAAAGAAAAGAAAATACACCTTATGCAGGAAATTTTTGCATGGAAGATATTTTCTCTTAATTTCACCTTAAAATAAAAGGGAAGTAACACTTGAGAGTTAAATACTACATCATCATATACTTAAACCTTTTAAACCAAGTGGAAGGGAACAATTTTTGAGTCTAATTTAGGGTAAAATGTGTATTATGCCTTTGACCAGTCTAGAGAATTTAAATTTTTAAGGAAGTTTAAACATTTGGTTTCTGCCTCTTTGGCTAGTAAATTAGTTCGTTTTTTTGTGTATTTTAATATTCTGAAGGCTTGTGGTCATGAATAAAAATTAGAATTCACTAAAGCACTCCAGAACAAATTCTGGTTCAGAATGCATTTTAATGTAGAATTTTATTTTCTCTTAATTTTTTAGTGAATTGAAAACCATAGTCACATGGTTCATCAGAAAAGCACTTCAAGGATGTTAGTAGCTTTGGATTCTAAAACAATTAAGTGATGTTAGTAGCTTTGGATTCTAAAGCAATTAACTACAACCTTTCTAAACAAGAGACAGTAAAAATTCTTGGAATTTTTCCAAAATCTGTTCTACGATTACAGTACTGGAGATCAGTGCTTGTGACAAATAACAGGTATTAAGCATGTCATGAGACTGGTTTAGAATGCAAGCAAGGTGATGTGCAAATCTAAATGAAATTGAATAATGAGTAGAACACAGGACAGTAGGGAGACATCTCTAGAACCCAGGTCTACTATGACATTAGTCTGTGAGTCAGTCTTTTAAAATAACCACACAGGGGTGCTCACAACATTGAATATTTGTATGCAAAACAGGGAACCAGATTATGATGCATGGTGGATCTTACCGATAACATCAGAAACGTGCTAGAATATTCTTAGAAGTCAGCTGGCCAGCTAGCCTTTCTGCAGCATACACTAATTCAGATAAGAATATTTTACTCAGATACTTATGAGAAGATAATAGGTTTCAAATTTTTGAAGTTATAAATATATAGTATGTTTTTTTAATGACTAAATACCTGGTGAGAAGATAAGGGAGTAACACTCCATTGATCAGGGTCATAGGCTGACAGTTCCTAAAGCTCCAAGGAGTATAGAAGGCTGGGGGCATTTTCCATAGTGATGGAAAACCAGTGGGATTCCAGAAGGGACCTTGAAGCTCTGCAAACCCAGCCAGATCATATGGCTGAGGCTAACACTCATATACCACCCAGTTATTTCCAGGGGGCGTTAGACAAGTAAGATGCCAGCATCTCTCACCGTCTCCCACTTTAGCAAGTAGCATGAGAGACCCTCGTATGCAAGTGCAGCCTCCCTCACTGCTAGAACCACAATGATCCTCATCAAGGCTCCCTCCACTGATGTATCAGGGTCAAGAACAAGGTTAAATATGATTGTCAGGCAGAAGAAGATTTTCATAACTGGATAGAAGAGGTAACTAGCCTAAGTACTGAATCAACTTTCAACTGGGCTTAAAAAATGACTTAATCCTCTTCAAACTTAACTAGATTCAATGGGCCGTCCTTGAACTCGCCGTTTCTTCCTTTCTAAGCTGTTCAGGTGTGTCGTATGAAGCTGCTGGACATTTTTATCATCAAGTGATATTTTGAAACTAGAAACATGACTCATGTCTGTCAGTGTGACATTGGAGACAAGTATACAGAAAAAGTGAGACATTTTGATAAAGGAAAGTCATAAGGTGAACTTGCAGATAGAATAAACAAACATGCTAGCAAGGTAGCCTAAGAGATCAGTTGGTATCTTTATCCTCGCAAATGCTAAACCGATAAACTTTAAGTAGGCAAGAATAAGCTAGCAAACAGGCAGTAACAAAGGAGCCTGGGTTAGATGCTGGTGCCAGGTACTAGAAGACACATCTATATCCAGAAGCTAACATTATATCATTTGACATGTCAACAATCTCTTTGCAGATGAATATCATCAAAGTTGTGTCTGGGCTTGGGTGGCAAGTGTGTGACTCTAAATGTTATGCTGCTCCAGCAGAACCAGTCACTCTTGTGGAAGCCAAGGAATGGGAACAGAAGAATATGAAATCAGTGGTACTGGTCATCAGTCTTACTATTTAAATGAATATCATGGTAAATACCATGATGACTATACAAAATGGTTTGTTTGTTTGTTTGTTTGTTTGTTTGCTTTAGAGACAGAATCTTACTCTATCACCCAGGCTGTATGCAGTGGTACAGTCACGGCTCACTTCAGCCTCAACTTCCCCAGGTTCAGGTGATCCTCCTACCTCAGCCTCCCAAGTAGCTGGGACTACAGATGTGCACCACCAAGCACAGCTAATTTTTCTTTTCTATCTTTCTTTCTTTTTTTTTTTTTTTTTTTTTTTTTTTGGTAGAGACAAGGTTTTACCATATTGCCAAGGCTGCTTTTGAACTCCTGGACTCAAGCACTTCACCCACCTCAGCTTTCCAAAGTGCTGGGATTACAGGTGTTAACCACCATGCCCAACCCAAGATGCTATTAATATAATGAATGACCAAGGCACCAATATTAAAGACATACATTTTTATAATATTCCACTTTAACTGGTATATTCAAACTACATAAGGTATTTGAGGCATTTTTGTTTTGTTTTGCTTTTAGAGTTAGGGTCAGTCAGAGCTCATTGCAGCCTTGAATTCCTCAACTCCAGCGATCTTCCTGCTTCAGTGATGTTTTTAAAATAAAAATACAGTTAAGTATCTGATTTCTACATAAGAGATTTAAATGTTTATATTGCTTAAGTATTGTTTGTTAATTTTTAAAGTAATGATCAATGAGTATAAAAGAAAGGCCAGGTGCAGTGGCTCATGCCTGTAATCCCAGCACTTTGGGAGACTGAGGTGGGTGGATCACCTGAGGTCAGGAGTTTGAGACCAGCCTGGCTAACATAGTGAAACCCCGCTTCTATACAAATACAAAAAGTTAGCCGGGTGTGGTGGCATGTGCCTATAATCCCAGCCACTTGGGAGACTGAGGCAGGAGAATCTCTTGAACCCAGGAGGTGGAGGTTATAGTGAGCCAAGATCACACCATTGCACTCCAGCTTGGGCAACAAGAGTGAAACTCCATCTAAAAAAAAGAAGAAAAAAATGAGTGCAAAAGAAAAATACCCTCGTGTACGGAGTTGGTGTATTATCCTACGTGCGACAGAGAGCCCCACGTCATTCTCTCAGTTCATTTGGCAGGTTGCAGTGGTTGGTTTTGCCAAAGAACTGTGCTAACCTTATGAGAGTTTCAGAGAAGGTTCCTGTGTTCTAAGGACTCATAGTCTAATAAAGGAAGACAAACATATCTATATAACTCTGCTACAGACAAATTTTTATAGAACCCATCATTATAGGTACACAGTGCTGGCATAATCAAGGGGGAAGCAGAATTCATCATTCTCAGTGGTGGAATCTGGGAAAGCTTAGAAGAGATGTAACTTTAACTGGTTCTAGGATGGGCTGGAACAAGTGGGAAAGGCCTTCTGACTGTTGGGAACAACCTGAGGAAGGATATAAAGGCCCAGAAAACATTCAGAGGGTGAACCTCATGTGGCCAGGGCAAACTCTACATAAAATGGGTAAATGAGCACTACTTACCAAAGTGTGAATGGTATTAAATGCCTTACTCAGGGGTTTGGGCCCTTATTTTTGTGGATTAGACGCCATTGAAGAGTTTTGAGTGGAATAAAATGATAAGATTTATTTAGTTAGTTAGTTTTTGAGACAGAGTCTTACTCTGTTGCCTAGGCTGGAGTGCAGTGGCACAATCTCAGCTCACTGCAACCTCGGCCTCCTGGGTTTAAGCGATTCTAATGCCTCAGCCTCCCAAATAGCTGGGATTATAGGTACATGCCACCACGCCCAGCTAATTTTTGTATTTTTGGTAGGAAAGGGGTTTTGCCATATTGGTCAGGCTGGTCTTGAACTCCTGACCTCCAGTGATCCTCCTGCTTCAGGCTCCATAGTGCTGGGATTACAGGCATGAGCCACCATGTCCAGCCAAAATGGTAAGTTTTAGAGAGATAACTCTGGTATAGTACTCGTAAGGAACCAGGGGTAGTCTAGACTTTTGGAGTCTGAATTCTTGCTTTATAGCTTACTGTTCTTTGACAAGTTGCTTTAACTCACTGAGCCTCAGGTACATAATTGTGAAATGGGGATAATACCTCTCTTGTAGAATTGTAATTAAGTGCAGTAATTATGCAAAGCATTTGGCACATAGTAAGAATTCATTAAATAGTAGCTACTCCTTTTTATCAGAATAACCACTTCTTAAGAATCTGAGGGGTTAGATAGTTAATATGATCATGATCATTAGATAGTTAATATGATCATGATCATGAGCTGATCATTAATATGATCATATGATCATGAGTTTCAGAGTAAGACTGACTGACCTGGCTTCAAATCCCACCTCCTTCTCTTATTAGCTCTGTGACTAGGACAGCTTACCAAGTGACAGTGTTGCCATCCATAAAATAAGGATGACAATCCCAACCTCATAGGTTTTATGTTGATGAAATGAGAGAATATATATAAAAGAGCTTTATATACCTAGCACTTACAAAGTGTAGAATGAGTTCGTTCATTCTTTCAACACATGTTTGCTGAATACCTGCCTTGTGTCAGATACTGTTCCATGTACTTGGAATATATCAATGAATAAAACAGACCACAGTCCCCACCCTTGCGGATCTCACATTCTAAGTGATCACTGTTATCGTCAAAAAGAAACACTGGTTGAAAGACTATTGCAGTTTTCTTGGGAAGTGACACAGGTTTTGATCTAGGGCAGTGTTGGTAGAAGGGGAGATGGGGTAGAAGCCGTAGGTATGATTCCTGACTGGGTGTGGGTGGAAAGGAAAGGGAGACTTGAGGATGCCCAGGTCATCATCCATCCATCAACCTAGAGAGGGAGCACAGGAGAAGGGCACATTCACAGGAGAAGATGATGGAGTTCACGTGTTTAGTGCCATCAGGATTTCCA